GAGTAAATCTACAAAGAATCAACTTCTCAATCATTGCATAATATTTCTAAGCCCCATTTATAAGCAATTCTTAATTCTCAATGATTTTCTAACATATGCCTGAATTATTGCAAATATGGTAGATTCAGATCGGAAGGAAGCATTGATACATATAAACCAAGAGGAAGGACTGGGAAGTAAATTTAAATTCAGGTGGTAATTGCCAGGTGAAGCATAGATTTGATTTTATTACCCTTTGCATTTTATATTTTTAATTTTGTCTACTGTTATAGTGTTATGCATTTTCTCAAAGTCCAACTGATGAAGTTATTTTGTTCATTGTTATTTGAAATTCAGGGGTTTGAAATGAGATTACCTTCAAAGCATTCAAAACAAGCAAGAGGCAATGACATCAGTTCAGAGCTCTGAAAATAAAAAACTAATTAATGGTTTGTAATATTTTCGATGATTTTTGTTTTGATTTGATGGGCACAATTTTCCTTATTGTTTCATATTATTGAAGATTTATGATGTAGGTACAAAATGGGGAAGAGGAAGATGCAAGTCATATGAAGGTACATGCTTTGTTAGTTAACTCAAGTCGCTGACTTGACCTTCCATATTCTACTAGCTGTTTTTGAGCGCAAGAGGTTTTAACATGTGTTCAATGTTTGCAAAATGCAGAATTCATCATATGGACTGTTGAGTGTTGACAAGAATTTTGTTTTGGAAGCAGAATCTTTGCTGCTGAAAAATAAGGTGAGCTACCATGTCTTAAATATATACTGGTCAATTCATTAAATTTCTTCTAGATTCTGTTTTCTAACTTACCTGAAACATGAATGATTTGGGGACAATAATTAATATATTAACCTCTGCAGATCAAGTGATTTGCTTCACAACCCTTCTGGCTTCTCAGCAAGATGTGCCTACTTCTTTAGTCTCAATGTAAAGAGTTCAACTGCTTGTACTTCCATCTCAATATATATCTTTCATTGCTGATAAAAGAAAATTACATGAAAATTAAGATACTATTCGAGAAAGATATGAGAGGAAGAAGCAGAGAGAGAGGTAGGGGATCAGGCAAAGGACACCGGATATGGACGAGACGGACGGCACTGGGCAGAGCGTATGAGAGACCCATAGAGAACAGCAGGCAAAGACGGGGTCTGGACATCAGCCAGAGAAAGGAGTACAGGAATCAGAGGAAGTTTGCTGAATGGGGGTATGATGAGGGGATGTACAAGCAAGCCACAGCCTTCTTTTTCACCAACTTCCCAGATGAATGGAGTTATGCAGAGATGTGGAAGACTTTCGGAAAATATGGCAGAGTATATGCAGTTTACAACCCACTAAGAAAATCTAGGAATGGGAAAAGATTCGGGTTTGTAAGGTTCCTCGAGGTGAAGAACCCAAAGGCTATGGAAAGTCAATTAGATAAGATAAAGATAGATGGATGCAAAATCTGGGTGAACCTAGCTAAATACCCAGTGGAAGCTCTGGAGACGAAGGTGAGTAGGATCCCGGTTGCAACAAGTAAAGTGGTTAAGGGGAAGTCCTATGCTGAAGCAGTTAGAGGGCAGGAAAAGGAGGGTTCTAGGCCTGGTGATGAACACCCATTATCAACAAAACCAAATAGAGATTGAAGTGCTCGCAGCGGTAGTCGGAAACAAGGGAACAACCAGCAAGAATGGAGAAAGAAGGAGGAAGGGGAAGCATGGGTGGGTATGGAGTACAACGTTGAGGAGGAAGACCTTGAGTGGCTGCGAGACTGTTATGTTGGAGTAGCTCACTCCGTTGAAATAGTTCCAATCCTCCAGGAAAGATTTTATATGGAAGGATACTTCACATGCCGTCTAAGGGCTATGGGAGGCAAATTGATATTACTGGACTGTGAGGATAAGGGGGAGTTAAAAGAACTAGTTCAGGGTGCAGCCAGCTGGTTAAGCCAATGGTTTTCAAAAATCAAGCCATGGTCTCCAATAACGGTAGCAAAGGAAAGGTTTGTTTGGTTAAGGTGCTTGGGAGTCCCTTTGCATGCGTGGGGGCCAGTGTTCTTTGAGTCAATGGTGGCAGCATGGGGGAAATTTATCAGCCTGGATGACAATACTAGCAAGAAAAGAAGATTTGATGTGGCTCGAATCCTTATCTCCACGTCGATTATGGAGTCAATCTCAGTTAAAAGGCAGATCAAAGTGAATGGAGTCCTATACAATCTCAGGTTCACGGAAGAAGAAATGTCCAACAGCCTATTCTCCATGAAATATGATTTCCTGCCAAGCATCAAGAGTGATACTGAGTATGAAGAATCCTGGTCGGAAGGATTAAATTTTGAGGAAGAACCAGGAGAGATTGGCCGAGAAGTTCTCAGGGCTTCTAGCGCCGGCGATGGTGACACGGTAGGGTCTATACCGGACCAGGCAAGGAAGAACAAACGGGTGTCTGCAATTTCGGTTTCCGAGGCTCATTTTGAATTTGAAGGAGATATGCAAGAAGATATCAGTCAGAAAAAGAAAGATATCATCTATTACAGCTGGATGGGGGAAGAGGAGTCAGTTGAAGTGGTGGCAGACAGTCTACAGGAATGCTTAGCAGGTAGTGACGTGGGAAGCAGAGATGAAGAAGTAAATCCAATGGTTGAGTCACAAAACCGGGTCAGCTCAGACCCAATTGAAGCCTCCAATGCTGAAGTAAGGTTCGGATGGGCTAGGCCCAACTCCAATCTTTCAGCCCATTCCCATCTAATTGGTGGAGGCCCGAATGTGGAGACCAGGGACTGTGAGACCACCGGCAATAGCAAACATAATCATCTGGAGGCACAACAGGGGATTAGCTCTTGCGGACATAATTTAAAAGTCAAAAAAGGTAAAAAGAGAGAGGGATTGTCACGGGAAGAAAGCAGGGAGGCCTCGACAGATCTAGAACTCGCTGAAGGGCTCGGAGGGGAGCGGAGGGATCTGAGCGGCAAGGAAGGGATGGCAACAAGAAGCAAACCGGACAGAATGAAGAAGAAGAAGAAGGTGTTATTGTGCAGATCCGTGTATCAAAAAGCCAACATCCTGGGTTTGATGAGCCTTAAGAAGAAAACCAAAAGCAGAGCAAGGCCAAAGAAAGCTCCAAGTCAAGAGTTGCCGAGCTTCATGCCGAATTCAAGCTATTCCATGGCGGGAGGGTCTGTTGGGGACAGCGGGATTGCAAATTGTAACAGGATGATTAAGGAGCATCCCAGCCGTAGAATTGCAACAGAGCTGTGGGATTTCGCGAAGCAAATAGGGGTTAATGCAGAGGATGAGGTTGAGACTCTTAGGAATCTTGAAGAAATGGAGAAAAGAGACAGAGAAGCCAAGGAATTGGAGATCCCGAAGACAGGGAGTAAGGAACCGAAGGTCAGTATTATTGAGCTATGAATGTCTTAGCTTACAACATTCGAGGAATGGGGGGGTAGGGAAGAAAAGACACTTGAGGGAGCTAGTTATGAAGGAAAAGGTGGATTTCCTAGCAATTCAAGAAACTAAACTGGGAGGGTTAGACAATAGAATTAGCAGATCAGTATGGGGAACAGATGAGGTAGATTGGGTAGCCAAGGATGCGGTGGGTTTGTCGGGAGGAATAGCTTGCTTTTGGAATTCCAAAGTTATTAGAGCCACAAGAATTCTTGAGGGAGAGCACTTCATAGGTATAGAAGGGTTGTGGTGCCCTGATAATGAACAAATTGTATTTATAAACATTTATGCTCCATGTCAACTACCTGGGAAGATAGTACTCCGGGAAGAATTAAGAAGACTAATTCAGAATGGGGGAGAAAAAATCTGCATTATGGGCGATTTCAACACAGTTAGAAAGGCAGAGGAAAGAAAGGGAAGCTCAGGTGTGACCAGAGATATGAGAGAATTCGACAGTTTTATCCAGGCCATGAATTTGGTTGACATGCCGTTAGTGGGTAGGAAGTTCACATGGTACCAAGCAAGGGGCAATTACATGAGCAGAATTGACCGGTTCTTACTCTCAGAAGGGTGGACGGCGAAGTGGGGAGAGGCTAGGCAATGGGGTTTGAGAAGAACTGTGTCCGATCACTGCCCAATTTTACTAAAACACCAGACCGTTGAGTGGGGCCCAAAGCCATTCAGATTCTTCGATTCTTGGCTAGAACAAGAAGGATGTGGTAATCTGATCAAAGAGGTGTGGAATGGTACCCAAATCCAAGGGTGGGCAGGCTTCCGACTCAAAGAAAAGTTGAAGGCAACCAAGGAAGCTTTAAGGAAGTGGAGCAAGAATTTAATTCCAGCTTTGGACCTCAAAATAAATAATGCTTCTTCAGCCATAGCCAGAATTGATATGAAGGGGGAAGTGGCACAATTGTCAGAGGAAGAAATTGAGAGGAGAAGAGAAGCGTTCATTCAGATTTAGGAGAGTTTGAAAAGTAAGGAGAGCATGTTGCAACAGAAATCAAGGAAAGTTTGGCTAGCTCAAGGGGATGCTAATACCAAGTTCTTCCACAACTGCGTGAAGGGTAGATGGAGAAGGGCAGAAATGAATAGCATACAGATAAAAGGAGTCCAAATCAGAGATGCCATCAGAATGAAAGAGGAAATTGCCCGGTATTTTGAGGAATTGTATGCTGAGGAGAAAAAGATTAGACCTACACTCGATGGGCTGGCTTTCAAACAACTCTCAAGGGAAGAAAATGTAAACCTTATCTCTCCCTTTAGTGAGGAGGAGATAAAGATAGCAGTAGGAGAATGTGATAGCTCGAAGGCCCCGGGTCCGGATGGATTCAACTTCGTTTGTCAAATCTGAATGGGATGTAATTAAAGCGGATGTGGTGAGCTTCCTGCAAGAATTCCAGACAAATGGCAAACTGGTGAGAGGTCTAAACACTTCTTTTACTATCCTTGTGCCAAAAGTAGAAAATCCAGTTCGGATTGAGGAATATAAACCCATTTCTCTTGTTGGAGTGATGTATAAAATCTTGGCTAAGCTTTTAGCCAACCGGTTGCAGGAGGTGCTTGGGAACAAAATCGGAGAGCAACAGATGGCTTTCCTTAAGGGAAGACAGCTGATGGATGGAGTAGTCATAGCTAACGAGGTGATTGATGAAGCAAAAAAGAAAAGGAAGAAAGCTTTTTTGTTCAAAATAGATTTCGAGAAAGCGTATGATAAAGTAAGCTGGTCCTTTCTTGATCACATGATGCAGAAGATGGGTTTCTGTGAGAAATGGAGGTTGTGGATCCAAGAATGCTTACGATCTAGCTTGATATCAATCCTAGTTAATGGCAGCCCAAGTAGGCAATTCAATGTGTCAAGAGGTCTAAGGCAGGGGGACCCGTTATCTCCGCTCCTGTTCTTGATTATTGCAGAGGGTTTGAACGGGTTGGTGACAGAGGCTATCAAAAATGGGAAGCTAGAAGGCGTGGAGGTGGGAAATAGAAGTTTTAGTATTTCTCACTTACAATATGCAGACGACACGATTCTGTTTGGTAAGGCTACTGAAGAAAATGTGTGGGCAATGAAAGGAATCTTGAGAGCATTTGAACTGGTATCGGGTCTCAAAATCAACTTCAATAAAAGCCAACTAGTGGGAATTGGCGTGGATGATGATTGGCTGAACAAAATGGCATGGGTCTTGTGTTGCAAAAAAGGTACTTTGCCATTCAAGTACCTTGGTATCACAATTGGAGGTAGTTGCAAAAGGTCTGCTTTTTGGAAACCATTGGTAGACATATTTGAAAGGAAGCTAGCTACATGGAAAGGCAGATATCTATCTCTAGGGGGCCGGATTACGCTTATTAACTCAGTGCTGTCAAGTCTCCCCGTCTTTTGGATGTCGATGTACCTGGTCCCAAAAGGTACAATCCTTTTACTTGACAAAATTCGTAGAAAATTCTTATGGGGTGGGGCTGAGAGGGAGAAGAGGATTAACTGGGTTAAATGGGAAAAAGTGTGTAAAGAAAAACAATTCGGTGGTCTGGGGGTTAAAGACCTAAGGAAGTTCAACCTTGCTTTGTTAGGTAAGTGGTGGGGGAGGCTAGTGAGGGGAGATAATGGGCTCTGGGGTAAGGTTATTCTGGAGAAGTACGGGAAAGTAGGGGAATCTACTTATAATTGGCTGAGGGAGGGTTTTAATTATGGATCTGCATGGTGGAGGGACATTTGTAGGTTAAGCAATATGGATGGTAATAAAAAAGGGTGGCTTGTGGATGGTTTAGAAATTAGAGTGGGGGACGGAAAAGATACGAGCTTTTGGTGGGATGAGTGGTGTGGGGGGGTGAGTCTCGCTAACAAGTTTCCTAGATTATATCTAATCTCTGCAGGAAAAGACAAAAGGATTTCCCAAATGGGAAGTTGGCAGGATGACTCATGGAAGTGGGACTTGAAGTGGAGAAGAAACCTATTCAGCTGGGAGGAACACCAGGAGGAGGCACTCAAGGCTGTGATCCAAAACACCAAAATAGTAGATGGAAAATCAGATGTGAGGGACTGGGTACATAGCAAGGATGGAATATACACAACAAAATCAGCATACCAGGCCTTGACAAGGGATCACAGGACAGTCCAGCAGAGTCCAACAATTAGTAAAGTTTGGCAAGAGTTCATCCCGAGCAAAATCTCCATTTTTGCCTGGCAAGTGCTGCAAGATAAGATCCCAACTAAGATGAACCTGTTGAAAAGGGGGATCATTCAAGACATCGCAGAGAGTAAGTGTGTTCTTTGTGGCTTAGCAAGTGAAGATTCCAATCATCTCTTTATTCATTGTAAAATTGCGTGGGAACTATGGAATAGTTGTTATAGGTGGTGGGGTAGTAAGCAGGTGTTAGATAGAGATTGTGGGAGGATGTTTGAACAGCACCCCTTCACATTCAACATTAAAGGGGTGAGGGGGGGCTGGGAATGCATTTGGTTCTCTGCTGTTTGGTCTATCTGGTTAGCTAGAAATGAAAAGCTATTTAGAGGTAAAGAAGTAGAGGCTGGAAGATTATTGGAACTAGTCCAGGTGAGGGCCTTTAAATGGATCAAAGGCAAAAGGAGAGGAAGCCTATTCACCGTATCAGACTGGATCCTCAATCCGGTAAGTTGCTTGAATCCGTCCCTGGTAGTTTAAGATGCCCATCTCCGATGTAAATCTTAGGCAGTTAAAAAAGAGCCCTGCCATTTCAAGTCACAGGGGTTCTTAGCTGGCCTGTTTTAAATCATGTAAAGGGTTCGGAGTACCCCCTGTACTCCAAATCAATGATTTCATTTTGTCTTTCAAAAAAAAAAAGAAAATTACATGAACTAGGTGGAGAACTATATATAATTTAAGTCTTCAAACAATTATATAATATTAGCAGCTAACTATGACTGGTTTTGGATTGTGTAGAAGTGCGAGTCACATTAGAGTAAGCTTGGAGGGATTAAATAAATAAATAGAATTAAATTATCAAAACTTCAAAAATTTCTTTGTGAAGATACGTACTTTTACCTTGACCAAAAGCAATGCCACCCTTTATATATTCTCTCACAAACGTAAAGCCTTCTATTAATTAAGGCTTGATTTGGAAATGTTCCACAGTTGCTTTAACTTTTCTTCATTTTTTTCTTTTATCTTAAAAATATAAAATATTAATCAAAATAAATATTAAATATAT